GAATCTGTACCTGAGAAATTGTAATATTAAGACCTAGCTTTTTTAATATAAAATGTCTCAATCGTGGCAAAGATTGAGTGATTGATGAATGGTTTGAAAACGCTTCTTACTTAGTAAAGGTTATGGTCATATCAGTCTGGTAATTAATTCCTTAAGAGTTGATGGTATTGGTGAAATTTTTAAAGACACCCATTCTTTCTGGAGTGAGATGGAGTCTCAATGTTGTTTTGAGCATTTGCCAGTCCAATTATTTAATCACAGGATGATCAAAAATCATATTTTAACTTTTATTTTATTGGTACATTTAATGCATACAACACAATGACAGTCATTGTTGGAAATTTATACCTTCAATAATCAATCTTGGTTCTTATTTTTTCTCCATTCCCCTGCCCTCCCTTCAACTTCTACCTCCCTCCCAATCTACAAAGATTTTGTTTTCATTATTTTTTTCATTTTCTCATATTCTTTTTATTAATTTTTATAAGCTAACAGAATACAAAAACAAAAATTTTTCTAACTTATTCAATACAAGAACTGACTGGATGAAATGACAACTGCCCAAGTGATGTTCTCAATAGTTAGTGTGTAAACAAATGTGCTGCCCAATGTACTTGAGTTAAACTGGTGAGTGCTTAATATGCATCTCTCAAATAAACACTGATGGTGACCATTTTTTCATATATTTATTTGCTACTTTTACTTCTTTATCTAAGAAGCCTACTCCTCTCAGATGCCCATTTTTGGGTTGGGATTTTACATTTTGGGGATCTGATTTTTTTTTTAGTTCTTTATATATTCTAGATATTAGTCCTTTGTTGAGGAGTAGCTGGTAAATTTTTTCCCATTCTGTGCAATGTCTTTTCACTCTGTTGTTTCATTTTCTGTGCAAAAGCTTTTAATCTGATTTGATTCCTGTTGTTGATTCTTTGTAGTATTTTCTGTGCATTCAGGATTTTGCTTATAAATCTTTGCTTACAACTATGCTGTCAAGAGTTCTACCTATTCTATCTTCCAGCAGATTAAGTGTTTCTGTTTTAATATTTAGATCTTTGATCCATGCTGGCAAGGCTATGGGGAGAAAGGAAACTTTCTCCATGGTTGTAAATAGGTACAACCTCTATGAAAATCAGTGGGGAGGTGCCTTAAAAAATTAAAACTAGAGGTTCCATTTGACCCAGTCATTTGCCAGTCCAATTATTTAATCACAGGATGATCAAAAATCATATTTTAACTTTTATTTTATTGGTACATTTAATGCATACAACACAATGACAGTCATTGTTGGAAATTTATACCTTTAATAATCAATCTTGGTTCTTATTTTTTCTCCATTCCCCTGCCCTCCCTTCAACTTCTACCTCCCTCCCAATCTACAAAGATTTTGTTTTCATTATTTTTTTCATTTTCTCATATTCTTTTTATTAATTTTTATAAGCTAACAGAATATAAAAACAAAAATTTTTCTAACTTATTCAATACAAGAACTGACTGGATGAAATGACAACTGCCCAAGTGATGTTCTCAATAGTTAGTGTGTAAACAAATGTGCTGCCCAATGTACTTGAGTTAAACTGGTGAGTGCTTAATATGCATCTCTCAAATAAACACTGATGGTGACCATTTTTTCATATATTTATTTGCTACTTTTACTTCTTTATCTAAGAAGCCTACTCCTCTCAGATGCCCATTTTTGGGTTGGGATTTTACATTTTGGGGATCTGATTTTTTTTTTAGTTCTTTATATATTCTAGATATTAGTCCTTTGTTGAGGAGTAGCTGGTAAATTTTTTCCCATTCTGTGCAATGTCTTTTCACTCTGTTGTTTCATTTTCTGTGCAAAAGCTTTTAATCTGATTTGATTCCTGTTGTTGATTCTTTGTAGTATTTTCTGTGCATTCAGGATTTTGCTTATAAATCTTTGCTTACAACTATGCTGTCAAGAGTTCTACCTATTCTATCTTCCAGCAGATTAAGTGTTTCTGTTTTAATATTTAGATCTTTGATCCATGCTGGCAAGGCTATGGGGAGAAAGGAAACTTTCTCCATGGTTGTAAATAGGTACAACCTCTATGAAAATCAGTGGGGAGGTGCCTTAAAAAATTAAAACTAGAGGTTCCATTTGACCCAGGTATTCCCTTCCTGGTATCATTCCAAAAGAATTAAAAGCATCATGTCTCAGTGATATATGCACGCCCATGTTTAAAGCATCACAATTTCTAACAGCTAAATCTTGGAAACAGCCCAAATGCCCATCAATGGATGAATGGATTAGTTAGGGCTAATTTTTAATACAATGAAGTACTACTGTGCCATAAAAAAGGATAAACTTGTGCCATTTCAAGGTAAATGGATGAACCTTAAGACCGTATTATTAAGTGGAATAAATCAAACACACATGTGTAAATACTCCATTGTCCATTGGGTGTGATAAACCAAAAAGGTAAATGAGGCCTGAAGTGTATAATAGATATCAGGAAATACAAAGAAACTGTTCAAATAGGAAGGGGAAAAGGGGAAGGGGGAAAGACAAAGGGAGGAAAGGAAAAAACAGTAGAAGGAAAGAAAGGAAAAAAGCTTTTATAAATAAGGTGGGGAAAAGGAACTGAAGAAAGGGAAGCGTACTGGGGAAGGAAGAAGAATAAAGTTATATTATGTACAAGTACAAAATCCCTATGATAAATGTGATGTATATATCACATATGTACAATAAAATCTTTTAAAAATTAAAACTAGTTTCCACTTGACCCAAGTAATCCCCTTCTAGGCTTCTTCTTGAAAGAGTTCAAAGCATCGTATCATAGTGATTTATGCATACCTGTGCTCGTAACAGCACAATGTACGATAGCAAAATCTTGAAAACAGCACATATTCCCATCAAGAGATGAGTTCATAGAGGAAATTGTGCTTTTTAAACACACTGGAGCATTAGTCTGCCATAAAGAAGGATAAACTTAGGGAAAAGGGATAAATTTGAGTCATTTTAGGTAAATATCTGCACTTTGAGACAATAATTTTAAATGAAATAAACGAGACACGTTAAGTTTAAATATTTCATTGTTTCTCTTGTGTGAGAAACCCAAAAGGTAAATAAGGAGCAAAATGGAAGATAGGTATTGGGAATTAGGAAGAATATATTCAAAGGGGAAGGGAACCAAGGGAGGATAAAAGGGGAAGGAAAAGAAGGGAAAGAATTTTTTTTAAAAGGGAGAATAGAAGAAAAAAATTGAAACAAAGTTTTTGTAAATGAGAGAAAGAGGGTTGAAGGGAAGGGAAGGGAAAGGAATGGGCAAAAAATAAGTATTAAGATATATTATTCACAGATACAATTCCCTATAATGAATGCAATCATTATGTATGACAGACATGTACTCATAAAAATTTTTATAAAGGGGAAGGAAAAGAAGGGAAAGAATTTTTTTTAAAAGGGAGAATAGAAGAAAAAAATTGAAGCAAAGTTTTTGTAAATGAGAGAAAGAGGGTTGAAGGGAAGGGAAGGGAAAGGAATGCGCAAAAAATAAGTATTAAGATACATTATGCACAGATGCAATTCCCTATAATGAATGCAATCATTGTGTGTGACAGACATGTACTCATAAAAATTTTTAAAAAGATTTCAAAGTATATGCAGCATGGTGGCATAAACAATATATATTTCCCTTTCTGAGTCATATAATAATCACTTAGTGACATGTTGAATTAAATGGTCTTTTCAAACCACTATGAAAACAACAAATGTGCTTTTCATTTTTAAAATATTTTGTAGTATTAAGCAATTACAGAAAAACAAGGAGCAACTTGATTTTAATATAATGAGGTGTGAAAACCTGTCAGTATGCATTTAAAACCAGAGCAAAGAAAATAGAATGAATAAATACCTTTGAGGCGATCAGCTATAAAAACAACGGTATCCTACTCTATTCTATATATTATGCAAATTGTTCAAGTAGATAAAGTCTATAAATATAGAAGCTCATTAAAATGTGAGCTATCTGGTTTTTCATTTTTAAATATTTTAAGAAAAAGAAAGGCCTGAATATGACAATAAACTCAGAAAACATAAAAAATTCAACTGAAAGTGTGAGCATTCTGAAAGAGTCTATATGGACACACCTCACAAAGCCGAGCACATTACAAAGTTACTCCGCTTCTGTCAGATGATGATACAAAGCTTCCGGGAGGGCCCTGATGATACGCTTCCCTGCACATTCTTCTTCCCCGGAGGGTGGGATGGAACTAGTGACTAGTCAGACAAGTAGAAAATGCCTAAAATGATTAATAAAATGATAAATGATAAAATGATGGCCGTGGCTTCATCCCTATCCTTTGCTCTAATTCTCACTTTCCCTCTCATTTATCACCAGCTGCCATGTCATGAGGACATCAGCAGGCTACGGAGACACTGGTGTGACCAGAAACAGAGTTGCCAGGAGCCACGGTGAGCTTCAGAGCAGATCCTGCCCTAGTGGAACCTTATGCGAATGCGGCCCACAATGGCAGTGGAGACCAGGCACTGATCAGAAGCTCCCAGCTCACCTACACTTGTTTTCCTCTACCTATTTCCACAGACTGAGATAATGAATGTTTTAAGCTGCTAAGTGTGGTGATCTATTGTTACACAGCTATGGATAATTAATAAACTTCATATTTCTTAAAATATAAATTTAAACCTTTGGAAGTAATTATTCACAAGTCATATGAACGAAAATTGAAGTTTAATGATGCCCATTCTTGATAATTTAGCTGAGGGTGGTTAAGAGAGATTCTTGCTACTGCTTGTTATGTATAAATTGGTAATTTGGAAGGAATGATAATTTATCGATGTGTACCAAAGCTTTAAGTATTCAGACTTGTTGACCAAGCAGTTTACTGACAGGTGTAGATTGCACAAAATATGCTCCCAGCAATAGAAGAATGATATTATTTTATTTATGGTTTGTACATGCAATGAAATATCCCGCAGATTTTATCATGAATAAGGTATATCTAAACGTGTTGCTGTATAGAGTTACCAAATAAAAACTGGTAAGTTACTATTGCTTTATTTTTCATTTCATTTTGCTCAGTGTACTTAAGGCTTTCCATGCTGAATTGGTGGAGTTTTCAATCATGTTTAAGTATAATGGTTTGGAGGTGAAGTTGTTGAATCTAGAGCCAGATGGTCTGAGTTCAGTCCCTACTATCTCAATTCTTTGGTGACCTAAACAGAAATACAATATTCAATTATTTTAAAAGTTGTTAAATTGACAAAACTTGAATTTAAATGATCCAAATCATTAGAAAAATGTTAACTTGGAGAAGGTTTTTGAACATAAATTATTTCTAGAAGTATACATTACAAAATTCCAATGCTTGAACTATATATATATATATATATTCAACTGCATGTGTTTGGGTTTTAGCTTTCTTTTATAGATTTTATTATTTTTTAATTCCATAAATTAACATTTGGAAGATGATGCAGAATTATGAGAGATCTGAGATTTTTCCCTAACTACAAGTTAACAAGTTAGAAAGAAAGACAGTATTACAGAGTGTACAGCAAATATCATGAAAAGCCATTTTGCATAGTATTTGCAGTAACCGAGTTCTCCTGGGGCTCTGTGAATACACTCAGAAGCCAGACTGCACTTGAAGTGGCTTCAGTACAGGACTGTGAGCTCAGGGAATGAGAATGCTTCAGTGGATGGTAGTAATGCTATTTCCCCCCTGCCCTGAAGGAAGACATTAGCTTCATTTGACTGTTCAGTAAAGCATACCTGCTCCTGTTCCACAGACACTTTACTCTATCTAGTAAGGTGGGTTGCTATATCAAGTTTATTGAAAAGATAGTCTATGAAAAATTACACTTCATTACTTACTTACAAGATGCACAAATGTGAGAAACCAATGGAAATTTATCTATTGTATTTAACAGGCATCAAAAAGGAACAATGCAGTATAACATTTCAAGACTCACAAATATTTTTCATGTAACATGAAATCCCTCATTGAGTGCAGTCATCAGTTAAATAAGAATTTGATTATGGTAATGTTATAAAATTTTTAAAAATAGACAAATTTACTGAACCTTTCATGAGTATTATATAGTGGGACATAATATAAATTAAATATATTAAATATTAGATATATTATATTAAATATTAAATATACATTAAAAGTTTTATTTATATTACTATATTCAATATGAGGACTCAGTTATTGTTAATTTACAAAAGTTAGAAGAGAGTAAATTATGTTCAATTAGATATTTATGGAGATACAGCATTAATATCATACAGAGTATTCTTCAAAATTAAAAAATAAGATATCAAACGAAGAGTATTCCTATTTATAGGAAAAATAGCACATTGTAACTCATTTGAGGATCCAAGCAAAATTACATTATTCAAATTATATGGATTTACCTGGGTATGTGTAGAAAAGCCTGGCTTATTTTAACTCTCTCTCTCTCTCTCTTGTTATAATTACATACAATTTTTCAACATCTTGCTGTGATAAGTTCTTAAAACATATATCTACAATCTTATTTTCAAAATGACACATAATTTATTCAGAACATTTTATTACTTTAAAACCTTGTTTACCTATGATACCCAGTTTATGCCATTTTTTTTTGTCATGTTAGGATATGCTTAAATCAGGAAAATTATGTTTAGATGTTACTTGCATTTTATTTTTCCAAGTATCCTGTTACATTTTCAAATACACAGAAAATGAAAATAATAGAACAATGTAAAACATCTACATTTCACTTGAATTAACTATTATTATGTTTTGACCATGTTATCTTCTTGGTTTGAGAATAATTTGAAAAAAGTTATAATTAAGGAATTTCATTCTTATACATGTACTGCCAAATTTTAAAAATATTTTCTCTGTGTAAGGAAAAAAATCTGTTTTTACATTATTAGGATATTGATTTTATTTATCTTCTAAATGAACACAAAATTGTTTTAAAATTACAAAACCAAGTTCTATGAAAACACATCAACTAATTATAAGTTGATATTTCTTTGTATTTCTTTTTAACTTCAAAATGTGCCTACGTATATATATAGTTAGAATACTACTGAACATTTCTCTCTGTGTGAAAATATTACCAATTCACAAATAAATTTCTGCTTCTGATTATTTTGCTTTAAGGTTTTCTTCATAACATTCCATTTCCTCTAAAGGGAATTATTTCAATTATTTCTGATTGATATTTGCTTTCCAATTGACTTATCAAGTAAAACATAGGAAAAGATTAATAATATAGTTAGAATACTACTGAACATTTCTCTCTGTGTGAAAATATTACCAATTCACAAATAAATTTCTGCTTCTGATTATTTTGCTTTAAGGTTTTCTTCATAACATTCCATTTCCTCTAAAGGGAATTATTTCAATTATTTCTGATTGATATTTGCTTTCCAATTGACTTATCAAGTAAAACATAGGAAAAGATTAATAAGTGACAGACATAGAGATTTCTTTCTTACATTACAGTTGCATGCTAGTATCCTCTTTTTTCTTCTACTAAACACAAATCTATTGCTATAAACTGTTCCATTTCCTCTTTTTTCACTTTTGTTTCTCTTTGCCTTTCTCCTCTTCCTATTCCCCTCTTATTTTTCTCTTCTTCAGCTACATGCCAACAATTTTGGGGGATATTATGAAGATTACTCAGTAAGCCTCTTATGATAATTATTTAGACTGTTTCCAATATTCCATATATATATATATATTCCATATATATATATTCCTATATATATATATATATATATATATTCCATGTATTACAGAGGAGTATCAGAGTAGATTCCTAAAATAGATGAGTAAAAATAAAAATGTATAGGTAATATAATTATGTATTTCCAAACTGTCCATTAATGGTATAATGTTTGAAACTGATAGCAGAAATTAATAAGGATGACAGTTTTCTGCATAGCCTTTCTAACAGATTGTATTTGCAAATTTTGAGTTTTTTTGCCAATTACATATAAGTAAATTTTACCTTCCTTTTCCTCACAGTTAAATACTCAGATATTCCACATTTTAAAATATTTATTCAGTATATTTTATGATATATTTACTACACGAAATACTTACTAGACATACCACAATTTCAAGACCAATGCACTTTGAAAAACACCTTTTCATGGCACCATGCTAATAGAATAATTGTAACTATGTCACCTGCTAGATTTTTCTGTTCACACATCATAGATATCATTTGATTCCATTAAATAAATGTGTAATGTAATAATAATTGAGGTATTTTTAAATTTTACTTCAATGATTGGTTTGGAAAAACACGAAGTAGTAAAAGTTGGAGAACTGCTCTTTACAAGTAATTGTGCATGTTATTTGGTTGAAAAATTTCAATGGCTTATTACTAAGGAGAATGAATGCGAAAATATGAGTTTATTTATATCTATGTAATTGCATCATAATTTCATCAAATGTTTATTATTGTACTGAATTGAAATTAATTTTAAAATCTACTTTTGCTTTAAATTTTTAAATTAAGACATTCACGCCCCGCCCCAAGCCACCATCTCTCCAGCGCCAGGAAGGTAGCCTGGGAACTCCCATAACTCCCCTAACCCCCTCACCCCACACACTCTCAGACCTCCTGATTGTGCCAGTCTTTGGACCCAATCTGCAGAGGCAGAGGTGGTCATATAGGGTATTTTTCTGAGTTCCCAACTTTGAAAATCTTTAAAGAAAGGGCATGGGAAACCTGTAGTAGAAGAGTGCAGAGTTCAACCATTCAGAAAGTTGGAGAATTCTTGGATGGGGAAATAAGATACTTCCACTACAAAGAACACCTGAGAAACTACATGAATACCAAACCAGCACTACAAGCAATTCTAAACAATATCCTAGAAAAAGACAATGAAGGCAACAAAACCATGAGGCCCAACAGAGCAAATCAAATAGGCAAGGCAAGAAACTAAAAGAAGGTGAAAAAGTAAAAAGAGTCAAGAAAAGGCCAATAACAGGACAATAATAAATCAGTACATACAAGTTATAAAAATCAACATCAATGGCCTCAATTCACCAATCAAGAGAAATAGACTGGCAAAATGGAATAAGAAGCAAAATCCAACAATATGTTGTATACAAGAAACACACCTAGTGCAAAAAGAAGCCCATATACTGAAATTGAAAGGATGGAAAACAATTCTCCATGTGACAGGAGCCCAGCAAAAAGCAGGGGTAGCAATCTTATTTGCAGACAAAGCAAATTTCAAAGCAAAACTGATTCCAGTATTATTGATGTAGGATTGTACTGTATCATACCTCTGTGCATGTAAAATATCTTCTACCTGCTTTATGATACATAGTAGTGACTGTGCTTTATCAGAGCTATTTTTAATGATATTACTCTACAATGTTCTCTTTCCAGATGATGATTAAGATGCTAAAAAAAAAAAAATGTGCCAGGTACCACTACAGCAACAGAACTTTGCTGTTTTTTGAGTATTATTCTTTTCTTTGTTTTTTTGTTTTTGTTTTTTTAATGGAATGTGCTGAATGTCTATAATTTTGTTCAGATGACTGCAGAACCTGGAAAAGGTGTTTCTGCTATTGATGTATAACATATTGCTATTATTGGTCTTTTTATATAAAATATAAATATATATATATACACACACACATACATATATATAATTTGAATTTTTGGAAACTTTAACTGTGCGGTCTACTTTGGAAAAAGTTATCCCAATTTAATGGTCTAGAAATGTTAATTTTTTTTCCATTTCTACAGGCATAACTCACTGTATTAAATATGTAAGGAAGGTCATACTTATGTAGGTTTGATTACAGAAACTAATAAAGTATTCTCTAAATGAAAAAAAAAAGAATAAGATAAGCCTACAAGAGCAAGAAGCAATTTAAATATGTTCAGGGACCATTTTCATCTTCAGAATTAAGGATTTTTTTAATTTAATTGATTAGTACATTCTAGGTAGACAGTACAGTTACATTCATTACTGGGATCGTGTACCTTTACATGCCAGGTCTTGATTCTCATTTTTTCCCCTTGTCCCCACCCTCCCTTCTTTGAAATAGGAAGTAAATGGCTAAAGGTGTAGGGAAAGTGGGAAGGGTGGGGGAAAGGTAATAAGGGAGAGGAAAAAATATGAGAAATTGAAAAAATGGAAATAAAGTGTTTGTAAATGGGGAGGGGAGAAAGGGGTGAAGGGAGGGCAGGGACAAGGGGAGAAAATGAAAATCAAGACCTGTCATGTAAAGGTACAGAATCCCAATAATGAATGTAATTGTATTGTATACCTAGATTGTACCAATAATTTTGGGGAGGAGGGGGTGAAGGGAGGGCAGGGGCAAGGGGAGAAAATGAGAATCAAGACCTGTCATGTAAAGGTACACGATCCCAATAATGAATGTAATTGTATTGTATACCTAGATTGTACCAATAAACTCAATAAAAAGAAAAAAAACAAATTAATACATTCCAAATGCCTAAGTACATTTACACTTTGTCAGTTTTTGGAATCCAAACTTCTCAGGTCATGTTCGAACTCTGCATTCATCCTATTCATATAAGCATGTCAAGAGTGAATGTCATTGGGCTGGGTATTTATCTCAGTGGTTCTGCCACCTGCGTCACAAGCTCAAGGACCTGAGTTCCATCCCTGGCACCACCCCCCACAAAAAGTGAATGTTATGATAAAAATTAATCCAGGTTTGAACATTAATCCTTTTTTATGATTCTTTCCATTAACAGCCCAACCCCCTGTGGCAGTCAGCTGGAACACCAGTTTATTCCAGCTTATATAATGTTAAGGACCTGGAAAGAGGGTCAATCTTCATACCACCAGGAGAAATTACATAGATTTATAGCTCTGGTATGAAATTTAAGGATCATAAAATCCAAATCTCTGCTTTATGAGATTAGTAAACTGAGGCCTGGAAAGGTGATTTAGTGCTCAAGATCAGATATCCAGTATATCTCAGAGTAACATATGGAGCTCATTTTGTACTGTCTTAATCTCATGTGTTTCAGTGGAAAGAGTATCTATCCTATTTATACAATAATACCACTACTTAAGAACCAATACATATGTGTCTATGGGGGGAGATGTATAACCTGAGTCCTGTGTACTTCTTTTTACCTGCCTTTTAATAATGAAATATTATATTTAGAATTTATTATGCTTTACTTATAGTTGTACAATAATCATTTGAATTTAGTGAAGTGTGGTACACTGAAACACAAACAATTCAAACTATCTGAATATTGCTCCCATGTTTCTTAACAGCACAGGGTTGCAAGATTAATTTCTTTTCTATTAAAATAAAACATTTTATTTCTCCCATGATCTGAGTAAGTTGCCCAGATATTATCCTACATTTTTTCCTCCATAACATGTTATATAATATATTCTATATGGAATCCTGTGTTATAAGGTTACTAATAACTTGTGCATTATACTAGTTATTATCAATGCATGGAAATGAACATCACCTTCAAATTTCTAGTAATCTTTATTCCTATTTTATGTATTATGTGTTTTAAAAGCTGAGGTGCTTACTGAGAGTCTTAATAATTATAAGAACACAAAAGTTACATTTGGACAATATTAATATATAATTGACATATAAGATTATTTTAATTTATTTTATTTGTCCTTTGAGATTTGAAGAATGTCTGTTTCTAGTACTTATACATTAATAGTTAGTGAAGCATTAGTCCAAGGAAGATTTGTGTTCTGTATTCTTCAATTTAAATCTAATTTGGGTACTTTTTGTGTACTTGAGAAACTAAAGGACTATACCTAAACCCCATTGCTTAATTTATAAAGTAAGAATAATAACAGCTTATAATAATAACAGTTTTGTTTTGGGAGCCCTGTGGGGAAATATACATAACTCAAAGCTTCTCAATATTCTTTGCATCTCATTCCATACTCTGTAATATTTTATGTACATTTTATATATTTTACGTACATTGCCTGTTTTCACTTTTTCACCCAATATGTAATTTTTCAATAACAATATAATATCTAATATTTTGAGAAATTTAAGTAAATTTATCATAACAGGACATCAGAAATACCATCTTTAATGGCTAAAATTTTTCTAATCTTTGATTTCATGAATATTTGTATGCTAAAATTTCCTGTGCTTTGTGTCATCTCCTTTATTCACAACAAATCAATCACTGATAATAGAAATATGTCCATTCCAATTACAAAGGAAAATTTTTAATTAAGTTGAGAGTCATAAAGTTTCTCAAGAAAGAGTTAAAATCATTTAGGAAGCACAAATGAACAGGATGCTTTCTCTATGGAGTTCTTGTCCTGAATTAGCTGGTTGGACGACCCACTGTTTAATTGCAAAATCTTCATTTCCCTAGGTGATGTACTCTGATGTTGACTCTAAGTGGGTCCAGACAGGCTTTATGACTGAGAAGCAAAGCACTTGCCTTGAAAATGAGATATTTATTTGCAAGTTGTTCTTAAATGGTGTCTACATAACTGGGAATAAAGTGGAGATTTGAAATTTTCTCCTTCATTTAGAAATTGCACAATCATTCATTTTGACTTTCCTAGTTCCTTCCTTCATTTCAACTTTTACAGCCCGTATCAGAACAATTGCAATGAATTCCTATTTTATTACATTTCTTCCACTCTTATACTCATCCCTCACTACTCACCTAAAGTCAATGTAAACAAGATGCTCCCTAATTATTTATAAGTTGAATTTCAGTCTCTTTATTTTGCCATTTAGTCTGTTTCACAGTCGTGAGACTTCTACATCTCCCTTGTACAAGTCTGCAGTACAGGCAAATGGGTCACTCTGTAAATTCTAGAACAAACTTTTAAAATTTTGCCTCAAGAATTTTCTCCCTACTATTTCTTTTACTTTGTTCCAGACTAAATTTGAATCATCATCTATGACCTTGGGAAGTTTCTTGTCCATCCACACTTCCCACATCTCTAGTTTGTTCCTCTTCTGTTTCTGATTCTCAACCCTGACTGAATATAGCAATCAATTTTTAAAGAAAATATTGTTACATCAGCCTTAATGCCGGGGATATGCATTTAACCTGTATGGGGTACAGTCTGAGCATTGAGATTTTTTAACTCTCCCCAGGTAATTTTGGTTTCCAATCTATGTTAGCAGTCTATGAGTTATATAAGTTCTAATTATACACTATTTGCACATCTCATTAATCAATTTAATAAGACACATACCACCTTTGTGATGTTTGTAGATTTTTAAATGCTTTTTTCCAGGGCAGGGGCTCATTTCCTTCTGTAAAAATGTTCATACATTTGTGATCAGATACAGGCATATGTAAAATAATTATTTTATAGTCAAATATAAAATGCATTTGAAAAACAAAATAATTTGAGTCAGCAGTAAATTTACCTCTTTTGGTTCCACTCCCCCTTCATCAAAATTAATCATTGTCAATAAATTATCACAGAGCCTTCCTCATAATTTCAAAGACTCTATGTTTTGTGAATTGAGAAAGCATTGAGGAGACTGATGTGAGCAAAAGGGAAAATGACAGGAAAAAATGGAGCCGTACAACCGCATGAGGACAAATAAGACACAACAGCACAGAATACTGGAGGCCTTTTTTTTTTTTTTTTTGGCTTTTATTAAGTGAGCTGAAGTTTTCTAATGAGGAATGTCATGATCTAAGTGAAAAAAAATTTTAAAGATTATTTGGTATCCTTAAGGCCAAAAGCTGGGCTTGGATTAAGAGAAGAGGTGAATGGGCAGAAACAAAAATACTGGTTAGGAGACTATTTCAGAAAGAGATAAAAGTGATAAGCAACACAGAAGTAGGAATGAAGTTGGTGTAATGTATTTGGATTCTGGATAGACAGTGGACCCTTGAATTACAAACTTGTTCCCAAGGGCTGGTTGTAACTCACGGTGGTTGTAAGTCAATATAGCTGACATCTGTATGTTTACCTGGGTACACACTATAGATAACAAGAGGCAGATGATCATAAGTCAGGCCAGTCGAAACTTGAGGATCCACTGTATATTGAAAGTAGCACCAATGGGATCTCCTGTTGGAGTAGATGAGTTCAAGGAAGAGAGGACTTAAGTTTTACTTCAAAGTTTTAAACTTGAGCAAATGAAAGAAACATGTAAAAACCACTGTCATATGCATTCCAATTATGTACAACCTGCACAGTGCTTTAAGCAATTTTATAAGACCTTGTCACATGATACTAGTCCCATAATTAATTCTTTTCCTCATTCTGAGATGTAAATGATGATAATAATCACATCAACGCATCACTGTGAGTATTAAATCAGGTAATATTTTTAAAGTGCCTAGAATAATACAGCTTGGCTCATCAGAATTCAGTGAACAACACATATCATAGAGGGACTCAATCGGCGCAGACAGTTGAAGTCAGCACCATTTGAAAGATGGAGTCATCAGTTTAACCACCTACTAACTGAGATTCAAGAAAACATGGCATGACATTTTAATTATATAACCAATGCAGCCATATTGATCAAAATAGCCAAAACAGAAACTATGGTTGGTAAGAATATTTATGATTCAGAATTAAAACAGAATGAATTTTCCTAGATGTTTGGGAAATGTAAGATCTTTTAATTAGATTATTGAGCATTTGTTTAGTTCCTTAAATTTTGGTGGGAATAGGACAGAAAGTCATAGGAAATATGTATTTAAACATAACATGAAAACTGCAGCAAAGAAAATCAATTATAAGAAAAACAAACTTGGGCTGGGGATTTAGCTCAGTTGTTCCGCTGCCTGCCTTGCAAGCGCAAGGTCCCAAGTTCAATCCCTGGTACCAAAAGAAAAAGAAAAACAAACCTAACACTGGATGTTGTAATACAAAAACTGATGAAAGAATATAACTGCGTTAAACAATCCAGTCAATGATGATGTAACACATATTATGGCCTGGAATACTAGAATGCAGGTGAAAAATTCCTATTGCTTATAAATCTTCTAGCTGTTGTAATGTTGAGTGATTTACCTATACCATCCAGGTTTGTCCAAGTACACTGTATTATGCTCATACAACATCAACTAAGGATACACTTCTCAGAATGTATCCCCTTAATTGAGTAACATAAAATTATAATTTAAAATTAAAGCCATTTAAGGTAAGCAAGACTGGCACAGCATGTGAGCACTTAATAATTATCCAGTAAGTGTATAAAGAGTAATAATCCATTGATAATATGAAGAGGAACATTTAGAGGCCCTGCTGTAATTCAACATTTAATGCTATATAAAAAAGAACACTGGTTTAAATGTAGGAGCTAATATTTATTATTATATAACTGTTTGAAGCTATAAGTTATGCATCTGTAAAAGTAAGGGATAACAATCTTAAGTCCAGGGTTTTAATAAGGATTTAATAAATAAAAAGTTTGGTTATATAGATTCGGGAACATAGTAAGTTTTCAATAAATATCAGCAGTTATGTGGAACTGAAGAAAATTTTATTTGCAACTAAGGAACTCTGAGAAGTGTTTACAAATCCCTGGTGAGGAGCTAGGGGAATGGAAACATGATCACACAGATGGCCTGCATATTGCTAATGGCTCCAGGTGTCTAAGTTGCTTGTTAAGTAAACCTGCATGTAATTTATCAATAATATTGGTCAGGTTGCCTCATCTAATTCATTTTGTTACTACAATTATTCTAAATTATCGTGCAATTTCAGATATTTTAAATCAGGCATAGTTGAACTGGGTAAACATAACTGTCCATCTGGCCATGGTTTGGAGCCAACAGAAGAAATCCACGTTAGATGACCACTCAGAGAGGTACACGCAAAAGTAACCACAACCCAAGCCATCTTTACTATTTTTTAGCTAACTGAGGTTCATAAAGGAGCATATTAAAAGATAAAGTTTCTATTCTGGTTATCAAGAAAAGTTTCCAAATACCACACAGTAAGTGCTGCTCATTGTTGATTGATTCTGGTAATGCTTGCCTTAACCTTGAGTGTATCCATTAGCTTTCTTACTATACTTTGTAGCTAATGTCCTACATACAAATATGCCTAAAATTTAGAACTCTAGATGTGTTTTATTCATAAAAGACACTCGATAGCATTGTAATCACTAAAGTATATTGCTAGAAAACCGATTGTTCTACCAGTTGGAGGTCCTTAGCCATTTTCTTTTAGATTCATCACTTGTCCTCCTTATAATCTACTCTGTAGTAGCAGGAATTTCATTTCTCAAATGCTTGTGCCCCAGGGTTTCTGACTGTGATCAACCAATGGGAAAATGGTAAATGTTGGAAGAGATGAGGAAAGGAGAAGTCAAGGTATTTCTACCACTCTCTGCTTGGCAGTTCTAGTGTCATTTTTCCTGTAGTCATAGGCTTTTACAAGATGATAGCTCCTCCATGGTCTCAGCTCTCTAGATAGGTCTACTGTGCTTCTAGATTTTTGTCTGGTGGCCTCAGATTGTAATTTCCATGATGTCATCAAGTTGTAGTAGCTTTCTGGGATTGCTAAATTCTAGGCTGTCTCATAGTACCATGTTATGTTTATTAGCTTTTCTTTCATCTGTGTTTGAAAGATTTCATAATGGAATCCATCCATTTGAAATACTTAGGAAGATTTTATTTTGTGATTGGATTTTTAAAATTATTATTATTATTTTTATTTTTGTACCTGGGATTGAACTCGGGACCTTGCATTTGCCAGGCAGGCATGACACCACTGAGCAACCTCCCCCCTAAATTAATTTTTTGAAGTTAAGAAAAAACAAAAAAAATCCCATAGTCAAATAATAAAAGAATAAAAATAGTTATTACACTGTGTATTGTTGTCTTCAAAGTAGTTACTAGGAGTACAAGGCATACACAAAAAAGATGCTTACAAAAAAAAAAGAAACAAACAGATAATAACACAAATCTTTCTTTTCAATGGACTAAGATAAGTTAGTGGTATAAATGAATCCAATTAGCATATATAGTTAAATATTTGATCTTGTCTCATTAGATATAATTTTCACATTGTGAGTTCAGAAAAATAAAAATGGTCCACAAATATCCAAGAAAGAGACATCTTAGCAAAAAATTCTTTTCTACAGAATTTCCTAAAGCCCTTTTTGTGCTAAAATACAGGATGCATTTCAAGCCATGCTGTATACAGCATCTCCCTAACTTATTATTCTAAAGAACTATGTTTTGTTTGTTTTGCTTTTCTTTTTTTTTCACAGAATATTTACAAGCAACTCATGAAAGAAGAGTTACACAGATATAATTTGAAAGTGTTGACGAAAGTAAATCTCAGTCTGATAATTCTGTATTTGTAACACAGGGATGAACCAATTTTTATATGTGGCATCTATATCTTTTTAACGCTGCAAATACCTAAAAGGAATATCTTGAAAATTAAAAGAAAGATGGACTAGCACAGGTATCCAAAGAATATCTCACTAATGTCATGTGCTTTGCAATATTATGGTAGGCAAAGACAAGTTATTTCATGCTGAAACACCTTTTGCGAATTTCATAATTGGATCTAGTTTGTGGAGTCTGCACCAGGGAAATGCCACTGCATTTCATTTATCATCAAACCGACTGGATTTGAAATGATAACACATGTGCCAGATTGAGGGGAAAAAAAGTCCAAATGGATTCATGCAGAAATGTTATTAACTTGGAAATGGTTCAATGGGCATTTGGCATTTTCACATTGGTAGGTTTCATTTGTGGAGTGAGAACAATGAGCTAGAAAGATATGGAGCTCTGTATTTTGCCACTTTAACATTTATGTTTGTCATTTATGAACCTCAGCTGAGAATTAATTAAATTTCTGTCTTGTGGTTTTTGGGTTTCTAACATATAGAAACTTTGTTATATTCACCTATTTACTTTGTAGATTTCCACTTTAAATATAAACTTTTCCAGGTAAGTAGGTACCTAAAACAAGAATAAGAAAAGTAAGAGCTTTAAAGATGTGGCTTGGAGCAAATAAAGTGTTCCACATTTAAGTTTTCTGAATGAAAAATCTGAGATTTAAACCCCTAAGGTGCTTCTTACAAAAGCAAGTATATGGATTGTAAACATGAAGTCACCATTTTAACTGATGAAGTAAAGTGAAAAGCAGTGATAAATATCAGGAAATAGTGAAGTATACAAGACAGATCCAGATAAGCTGGAAGCAAAAAGGGTCTCAATGAACAAAGGCCTACAAATTTGACTATAGTGTCCAGCTCTGACCATAACGAGGTATGTAGTTTTGGGCTAAGCACTCAAAGCTATTCACTCATTTGTTTCACAGATATTTATTGTTCCTCTTGATCTGCGATATTCATACAGCTAGATTGATTCTAAGGATTCACAAGTGGTTAGTATTAGAAGGAGAAAAAGAAGGATAATATTGACCAGTGGTGCCAAACCTATAGCAAGCATGCCACAGTGGGCTATTTGTATCATTGAAAGCTCTAAAAGGTTCAGCGTCACCGGCACAGACAATGAGAAAGCAAGTGAACAAATAACACATAAACAAGATAAATTTCATGACTACAATAGTTTGTACACCATGATTGACGTGACTCAATAGTCAAGTGACCACTGACAGCTTCTGTAAGCTCAGCATTCCAGGTCGAGAGAGGATGCAGAAGTAAGAATGAGCATGGCAGTTCCAACAGCCAGTGAAATTTGATTATAAATGGAGAGAGAAAGGAAGGTAGGCAGGCACCAGATCACATCAGGCTTTATAATCTCTCAGCGCTTTCCTGCATGCCAAGGGGTTTGAAGGGAACGAATTTCAAGAACTCGTATAGTTCTCAAAGTCTCTGATATGCATGATTAAGAAAGAAAAATTAAATTTCATGAATATATAGGAAGAACAAGAGGATAAACCTAGAAAAATGCAAGATGATTAACGGCTCACCTGAAAGAGAAAACAAATAATAAAAATACCATTGTGATCGTGATTTTGAAAAACTGTCATCAAAATGCTTTATTTATAAAGCAAAAAGGTATTATCAACTTACATTAATTTTGCAATATATCTTTTTTGAATTGTTACACATGTTCTGGTCAAAA